CACACACACATATATACACACATACACACACAACAGACAAACAAATACACACACCAATGAACGTCGTTGTAACGAAATGAGACTCGCGAGACGCGCCGAGTTGTGCCGAGTGAAAACAAACAAATGTAAACAAGCTGGATCGCTTGCACGTACAGGGGTTGGTGAGGGGGTGGGGGGGAGGTCGGCGTGAGGATGAAGGGAAGGGGGTGCAATAATGGGAGCCTATTGCTTGCTTGACTTTGCTTACTTTGCGCATACAACTCTATGAATATATGGATATTTCTATCTCTTTCTTTCTTATCCGACATTTGTTATATCGTCTTTGCATTATATTTCGAAAAATATTTTTAATCTTTTTTCATTTTATTATCTTTTCTTGTTATTTCCATTTTTGTCTTTTTTCTTTTTTTTTTTTTTTTATTTCGTTCTAGCGTTACCATACGAGTTAATTAAATACCGTAAATTCTGTTCGTTGATTTTGACTCTGATACGATAAGTCAACTTAAAAAAAAAGAAAGTTCAATATAATTATTATATAATATCGTATAATGTAACGTACGACAATAATTGTAACAATATCATTGTTGTCTTTTGAATGATCGTTAAAATGTTGAAATAAAAAATCTTTATATATGCATTAAGAAACAATAATGATCGAATGAAACGATTTATTTCGAAATATATCGAAACGTTCGAATACAATCGTTTTGCAGAAGCAAATCCGTCCAATCAACGATTCAGGAAGGCACGTATCGTTCCATTCGTTCCATACGTTCCATTCGTTCCGTTCCGTCGTTCCGTTCCGTCTTAGGCAAACGGCCGGGTGTTGCGTGTATCGTGTCAGTTATACTTCGGCAGCGAGTGGTGACAGTCGTACGAGTCCAGGATCTTAAGTCGTCTCGTCGTTCACCGGATTCTTTGAATATTCGCGGGTTTCTTGTGCATTCGTTATTTTAAACGCGACATTATTTGGACCATTTATTGATCGAGGCGATTAAAAAAAAAAAAGAAAAAAAAAATTATCGAAAAAATTTCCATCGGACAAATGAATTCGATCGAATTGATATTGATTGTTGTTGTGGCTATTGAACGAATGAAATTCATAAGAAATTTTAACGTTCGATCGAATAAGATCACATAATGAATCGGATTTTAATTCCATCGCGATCGATAATAAAAAATTAATAAAAAGAAAAGTTATCTCTTTGTGCGAATGAATTGTTTTTTTTATTAAAATTCGAAAGAGCTTCTTTTTTTTTTTTTTTTTTTATAACGGACATTTTTAAATATATATATATATATAATACATGAACGTTGCATATTTTGTTTTAAATTGAAGTACGTTAATACAGCCAAATATCATTACTCAACGATGCGCGAACGTGAGTGTGTGTCTGTGTGTCTATTGAACCGAGGACGCATCTGATTGGTCAGAATTTCGCGAGAAAGAAAAAAGGATATAGACGAAATCGCGCCGAAATCGTTTTTTTTTCTTTTTTTTTTTTTTTTTTTTAAATATGCTCCCAAATATTTCGATAAGAGTGTAACGTACGTAATTTAATGACAAAACTAGTGTCTTTTTTTTTTTTTAGTGAAACTTTGCTTGCTGGTCGATAACTCTTGGTAAATAATATTGAATTATTTTTGATAATTATAATAATAGTAATAATAATAATAATAATAATAATAATAATAATAATAATAATAATAATAATAATAATAATAATAATAATAATAATGATAAACGGTGAGACGTTGAAAATGTTGTTAGGTTGGAAATAAATGTTTCGTAGTTTCTTCGGAAGCATTAGAAGTTCTATCTCGTTAGAATATATATATAAGTGTTATTGTCAAGGTGCATTTTGTGGTGTGTATACGATCGATCGACATGTCGCGATATATTGCCGTCGAATTTCGTTACGTCGAATCGAAGAGGAAGAGGAAATACGTACACACGTGGTTGTGGTGACCGATGTTTGCACAGAGAGAAGAATTCGAGGTTGAGAAACTGCCTCGAAGACGTAAAAGAGGAAGAAGAAGAAGAGGAAGAAGACGAAGAAGAAGAAGAAGAAGAGTAAGTGGAGGACAAGGACGAGGAAGAAGAGGAGGAGGAGGAGGAGAAGGAGGAGGAGAAGGAGGTGGAGAAGGAGGAGAAAGAGAAAAAGAAAGAGATAGAGATAGAACAAATTCTCTTCGTTTATTGTTGAATCAAAATTGCGAATAAAAGAAAGGAAAAAGGAAAAAAAAGAAAAAGAAGAATAAAGAAATAAATAAAAAAAGGGAGAAGAAGAAGAGGAGGAAGAAGAAAAATAAAACGGGGAAAGAAAGGGGGAGAAGGAGAAGCAAAAAAAAAAAAAGAAAAAAGATAAACAGATATAAAACTACAACGAAAACGTAAGGAGATACGACGATAATCATTTTCGTCATCATGGCTTACGTACTTTGGCGCGTCTTCGTTAAGAAGTATTACAAAGTTCGCTTTGGCGTCAGAAATCCATTGGTGAGTCTTTGCCTTTGTTATACTTATATATCACTTTTATCACTTATGCTAATAGATATTAGTTTTATCTTCGATATGAGTTTAATATATTTTCTTTATGCATTTCTATATTCTTATGTATTTTTAAATAATTATTATCTATTTCTACACGTGCACATACGTATATATGTATATATATATATCTATATGTGCATTATAAATGATTATTATTTATATCTGTATATATTTGTATGTATATATGTATTCATATATTTGTAAATAATTATTATTTATTTCCACTTATATATATATATATATATATATATATATATATATGCATGTAAATATTTACATATGTATATGTATTTTATAATTAATTATTATATACATATATATACACATGTATATATTTACATATTTATATATGCATATTTGTTTATAAATAATTATTATATATATGTATACTTCATCCATATTTTTTTTAATTAATTTAAATAGCTAACTTGTCAATAACAAAAAGGTTGGAAGTTTAAAAAACTTTTTCGATTTTTTTCTCTTATACATAATGGATATTCGCAGATAATTTTTATTTATAAATATTCGAATCACATGCTTCGTATATTATTCGATTGATTGGGACTAGTAAAACTAGTAAAAAAGAATATAAAGTCTTTTTTTTATGATTCCTACTTTATAGGATTAATTTGTCTTGCGAATTTATAGATGGAAAAGAAAAAAGAAAAAAAAAAGAAAGAATAAATAAATTCATCTTCTCTTTGTCCGATAGCGAAAGCTAATAGGTTACGTCGGCTGTTAATAACTCATAATCAACGGTAGTTTTCCCATTTTTACTCTTTTCTTTTTTTTTTTCTTTTTTTTTTTTTTTTTTTTTTGCTTAGGATGAATAAGAAAGAAACGTGCGAATTTTAAATGGAAGAAAAGAAAAATAATGATTTAATTTAATACTAATTAAGAATATACTTTTGCTTTTTAACGAATGATTATCTTCGTTATTCAATTACGGACGGTCATTAATCATATAAATTATATTAAATTACTTAATTATTTTGATTAATATTAGTTATGGTTAATTATATAGACAGGTACATTCCTAGATTATCTTATTAACTTATATATCTTAAATTTCATGAACTTGTATATTTTCAATTTATATACATATATATATATATATATATATATATATATATAAAATAATTGAAAATATATAAATTAATGAAATATATATATACACACACACAAATATATATATATATATATATACATGTTAGCTACGATTTATATGTTAGTTATATGTGATTGATATATACATACATACATATGTTAAAGATGAGATATTAATATTTATATATGGTAGTGCGTTGAAAAAAGAACGAGTCGCAAGAAAAAAAAATTGATCGATTCGATCGTTGCGTGTGACGTCACGATGAAATTTACAATCTCATCAAGTAACTTTTTCATCTCTCTCTCTCGTAGTCTTTCTCCCTCTCTCTGTGATGCGTTGTTTAGAAGAAAATAATATTTATGACACACGTTATTCGTTATATCGTCACTTTTTTCCAATTTTTATTTTTTTCCAATTTTTATTTTAATTCAATTTTCATTTTTTTTCAATTTTTATTTTAATTCTCACGTAGTATATTGTATTCCAGACTATGGATTTCATTTTTTATGATATATACAAACACACACACACACACACACACACACATATATATATATATATATATATATATATATATATATCGTTCGCATAAAACATAAAAAAGAAGAAAGAGTAAGCATTCGAAAGGAACTTTATCGAAAACGAGTTAGAAAAAAATTTTATACTTGAACATCTTTTTCAAACGTATGTATGCATTCATTCAGTTTTTCTCTCTTGGTATGTTAAAAAGCGCAACGACTTTTTCATTACCGCTCGAGGCTGAAAGATAAAGGTACATATGTGTAGATATATATATATATATATATACGGACATACGTACATATATATTTATGTATATATATATACATGTATGTATGTATGTATACGGTTGGATCGTAATTCTCAAGGTCGGTATTTTACGATCCGGAGTTATATCTCTCGTCTCATCGCGAACAGACTCGAATAGATTATGCAATTCGAGCGAGTGCAATAATAAAAATATATATATATATATATATATATATTTATATATGTATGTATATACCTATATAATGGATATTAAAAAATGAAATGTTCGTTTAATACGACAAAGTAAAAGGATAATATTGGGATGTGATTGGAGATCGGTCAAAAGAATATTCCTATTGGTCGATTTTAAAAATGAATTTTTAACTTTCCTTTTTCTTTTATCGAGATCTTTCCCACGAATTAATTTCTTTCTTTCTCTTTTATTTATTCATTCATTTATTCGTTCATTCATTTAATTTTTTCTTTTAATTCTTTTCATTAATCTTCTTTTCTTTTTTTTTTTTCTTCTTCGGATTACAAAGTACGGACTTGAAAATTATCTTTTGCTCAGGTAGATACTTTAATGACTTCAAAATTGCAATATATATATATATATATATATATATATATATATATATATATCACATTTATCTTGTTTAACGATCGATAAATCATTATTTTCGAAGCATCTAGCGTGAAGATGAAACGTAAAAAAAAAAAAGGAAAAAAAAGAAAAAGAAAAGAAAAAGAGAAAAAAGAACAGGAAAAGAAAAAAAAAGAAAAGAAAACAAGAGGAAAAGAACAGAAAAGGAATGGGGGAGGGGGAAAAAAAGTTGTAGAAAAAGATGTAATTTTATCCAGAGCGTGCCGTTAGAAAGCACCGGTATTTTATTATTATTTGCGTTGTGATTAATTGAAAAATGTTAATTGGTTAATATTATGGATCGACTTCAGTAATCTTTCACGTATATTATCCATTGTATTATATATGGAAAGTGTTCTCTCTTATTTCTTTTCCCCGTCTCTCTGTCTCTCTCTTTTTTTTGATATAAATCGGCATTACGATTTTCATCTACATTAATATTTACACATTCACATTCACATTTACACATTCACGTTCACAATCACATTTACACATTCACATTCACATTTACACATTCACGTTCACATTCACATTTATACATTCACATTAACATTTACGTTCTAATTCACATTCACGTTGACATTCACACATAATATATAAACGCAAATACAAATATAAATTAGACGTGTGTATTTAATACGAAGGTCAAATTCGTTTTGATCACGTCTATAAGAACAAGGTACAATTTATTAGACTGCGACTAACGGTTGGATGTGCGCGCGTTGCACACAATAATTGGATAATTACTTCGAACGCTCTTTGGTGTGGCAAAGATGTTTATTTTGTTTTCTTTTTTCCTTTTTTTTTTTTTTTTTTGACGATACCTTTTATTTTATTCCGACAACTAATACGATTTATGGAGTATTGTTGGAGTCGATTGAAATTGCAAAAAATCATATTTATTATATAATCGTTTAACCCTTGAACCCATTTTAAACTTTATAGGTTCATTCGAAGCGTTTGTAAATTAACGATAGAACAATGAAAACGATCTTTTCGTTCGAAGATCATTTTATTTCTTTTTATTTTTTTTTGTTTTTTTTTTTTTTTTTATTATTATTATTATTATTTCTCTCTCTCTCTCACACACACTCTCTCTCTCTCTCTCGCTTTCTCTTTTTCTCTATCTATCTATATGTCTGTCTGTTTATTTATCTTTTCTCTGTCTAATTTTTTTTCTCTCGTTATTTAATACCCTTCAATTAGATCTTATAATCTATAATTCAATTGTTTTTAAGGTTATAAACATAATTATATATAATACGAATGTTGTAATATTGTTTATACGTATTATTATAATTATGCCGTATTATTTATTACGATTAAAATATGTGACAAATTTTGGATCTAAGCTAACAATTAATTTTTTTTTTTATGGTAAAATGAATTAAAACTTATGTATAGGTTTATATTTATATCTGTGTATATATATATATATATATATATATATAGGTATAGGCATATCTTTGTATCTTTTAAATGTACTACATATCTATATATCTTATCTTTTCTGTATGCTTTTTAAATGTTCTTTTTATTTTAATAATCGTACTTAGTTATTTTTATTTTTTTTAAATGTCATGTAGCTTTGAAGTAATGTACTTATGTATTTTTATTTTTTTTAACTCTTATATACAATAACTTAAAAGTTATACATTCATATATCTGTATTTTTTAAATACAAATATATAAATAGCAGCTATGTAATCCTGTAGTTACATATATATATATATATATATATATATATACATATTTTCTTTTTATTATAAATATTATGTAACTATTAAATTACATATATATATATATATATACATTTTTTTTTTCAATTGTGTAATTTTAAAGTTACGCGTCATTATTGCAAGATTGAAGAATTAAAGGAAGAAAATAAATAATGAATTAATTAAATTAAATGGATTTATGTGGAAAGTTAATAATCTTTGAAAGCTCATTCATATATATATATATATATATATATATATATATATATATATATTTATTATTTCAAAATTTATTACCGAACAGTAACTGAAACGAGCGACTTATGCTAATGTAATTTTCAATATTGCTGTGCCCGCGAGACGTACATATATATACGGTCCATTTTCAAAAAGGATCTAACATCACCTTTATATCCACGAATACACTAACGTAATAAGATGCAAATTCGTTGCATTCGTATATGTTGGTTGCCCATGTAGGCAACTTGATGAATCGACAAATCGATACTAGCAACGATCGTAAAATCAATTACGAGAGACGACAATTCGCGAGAGATATATAACGGACATTTCAAAAAAAAGAAGGAAAAAAGGACCAAAAAAAAAGGAAAAATAAAAAAATAAAAAAATGAAGAAAAAAAAAAAGAAAAAAGACATTAAAAGGAAAAAAGGAAAAGCTATGCATGTAAGTGCATATATTTATGCACGC